TCTAGATTGTTTTGGATATGTAGGAAATCAGAATCCATTGACGGATGATATTCCATGTTACACCCCAGTAAATGTTGTTACTAAAAGAACTGGTGATGCAGTGGGTAAAAAATTGTGCAAACGCTGGATAAATGATATCAAGGAAGAAGAAAAAAATGTTAGGTGATATGAATGGATGGGTGGGACTGAAAATGAGAAAGTAAAGAAAAAGTGATGGGACCGTTCAAAGACCTAAAAATAAGTGAGGATGGTAATAGTTGAGCACCTACTTAGAGAAAGTTCTGTTTGTTTTGAATACATGGTTTAAGCATAAATCTATTCATATGTACATATGGAAAAAGAATGAATAAAAAGCATGATTGGTTTTATTGCTTATGATGAAAGATTGAAATAATGAGTGAAGGATACAAGGATGATGAGAGGTTCTGAATATGAGACAGATCATTACTTAGTGTAAAGAATGGATCATGAGAAAATAGACATGGAAGAGAGAAGAGAAGAGAAGAGAAGCAAGAAAATAAAATGACCTCATGAAGAGAAAGTATGATCCTACATGAAAAAGTATTAGAAAACAGATTAATTTTGCAACAGAATTAATGGAAAATGGACATTTTAAAAAAAGGCTTTTAAAGGTGCTTATAATGGAGTACAATGAATGATGTTACAGAGTGCCAGAGAAGTATGTGGAATTATGCTAATAGGAAGTACGATAAAGGATGCTTGGTGGAATGATGAAGCAAAAGAGGCTATGGATAATTTAAATGATTGCTGCAAAAATTGAGAACAAGACTGCTCTTGTACAGGATGCCTTGGGGAAAAAAAAGATACGTTACAAAATGCATTCAAAGAGAGCAAGAAACAGTTAAGATTAAACAAGTTAGGAAATAGATGTGGAGCATGCCTTCCAGAATTCTTGCCAGCCTTTTACCAGCAGTAGCCATAAAGACATCTCTATTTTCTTCTGTATAGTAAATGAGTGTGTTGTGTCCCTGTGTTTCTGCTTTCTGAGGTTTTTCTTCAGCAGGTCACTGAACATTTCTTAATTTAGAGTAAGTATATGAAAAAGTGAACAGATCTGAATTATGGAATGTTTTATGTAAATATGGAAGTTTCTATATGTGAACACATGCAACTTAGCCAAATACAGTAAGATCTAAATACTCAGAATCATGGACTTCATCAACCTCTGCTTCACTGCCTACTTTCAGTTTAATGAACAAATATACTGTCAGCCTTCCCAGGTAGACCAGACAGGAAACACAGCCAGCTGAGCTAATTCTACTTTATTGTAAGGCTATGTTAACAGAGTCTTGCAAGTCTGAAAGTACAAATCTCCTGTCTTTTTTACAGCCTCATAAGTTAGGGAGATTCCTTTCTGAGTTTCTTTCTCTGTCTGTTATCCGGCTGTGGGCTATACCTCTCTTATCTGATCGTTCCCTAGGCAACATCTCCTCCCCCCAAGGTCATTCCCACATACCTTTACGTATACCAACAAATCGGAGGAACACCCATGGGATCGCCACTCTCAGAACTCATAGCAGAGACCGTAAGGCAGCGTGTAGAAACTATAACACTCCCACACATACAACCAAATGTATGGATCTGGCATGTAGATGACACCATCATAATCATAAAAAAAGGGAAAACTGGAGAAGACACATGAAACAACATCTTCAAAGGAATAAAATTCACAATGGAAGAAGAAAACCACACACTACCCTTCCTGGATATCCTCATCAGCAGAGGAAACAATGCCATATTAGAAATGCAAGTCTATCAGAAAACAACCCACACTAACCAAGTGCCCCATTACCAAAGTAACAACCCAACCTCCCACAAGAGGAGCTGTATAAGAACATTATTTAGGCAAGTACAAACACACTGCAGCAACCCAGAATGCCAGAAAAAGGAAACAGACCACCTATACAATAACTTCCAACAAAATGGATACCCACACAACTTTATCAAAAAGTGCCTGACCACTCAACCCACTACAGCA